GGATGCCATATAAATATTTTGTGTCACTTACCTATTTCGGCTCTTGAAGTTCACTTGGACTTGCTATAACAGTGGAATATATTACATTACGATATAGTCACCTGAAATTGTAAAACAATGTGAGTTTTGAAAATTAAAGATGATATGTTTGCAGTTCCTATATTTGGACCTTTGCAGTCTTCTGTTGGTAGGTTAGGAATACAGAAATGCAGGAGGCATAGTGTGTCGATTTTATGACTACTTCTCTTATGCCTCACCTATATTGTGCTCGAAGAGTGAGAAAATCAATACTTCTTTTAAAACGTAATAAACTATGATATGACTGTTGTTGATGTCTTTGAAAGTATGAAACTGCCCCCTTCTCACATTGGAGATGATCCACTACTTTTTGAAGACTATGGATCAAAGATGAGTATGATATTGGTAACCTGAGGCGGATACCAGTTTAGGAGTGCGCTGCTGTTATTTTTCACAAGGTGCAATCTCATATATTTTTCCACTGATATGCTCTCAGGAAAGATAAGACAGGTATTAAGTATAATAAGTAAATTAGTTTGCCAAATATTATTCGGTTAAGGGTCTGATTTGTCCCTCTACTATCATAAATAGGTCTTATTTATCCTCCGTTTAAGTTTTCTATCAAAAATATCCCTATCGTTATACATTAGGGTCATATTTATCCTTACACGTTAAAAACACCATCCCTTCTTTTAAAATCCACTTGGCATCCCCTTATTGGACCAACGGACCCGCCCCTTTTTTAATTCAAACCCCTCCGATCCCATCAACAAAACTCCACCCATCCATTGGTTTGATTTTGGCTTTGTTTTTTAAAAATCCGATCAAATGTGGTTTGGTTTTGGTTTTAATAAAAAAATAACCAAACCAAACCGATTATAAAAGTAGTTATTTGAATTTATTATTACACGTATATATATGTATATTTTTATATAATATTTCTTAAATTTTATGGTACATATTAGTCCGCCCCGTTTTAGTCTAGTTCTTTATTGTTATTATAATAATCTAATTATTTGCCTTTATATTCTAAAAAAAAAAATAAAGAACTTGGGGCGGGTCAATCGATTTTTAATTACGGCAATTTTAATGAAATGTTAGGGGGAAACGTAGGTTTATCAGCCAAAAGTGAAAAAGAAAAAGAGTCCATTTTAGCAGTTAGATTTGGCATTTATCTTCTTACTGAGACATATCTCAGTGTCATGAGTCAAATAATTAGATTGTTATAACAACAAAGAACTAGACTAAAATGAGGCGGACTAATATGCACCATAAAAATTTAGAAACTTTATATATATATATATATATATATATATATTAATAAATTCAAATAACTACTTTTATAGTTGGTTTGGTTCGATTTTTTCGGTTATTTTTTATTAAAATCAAAACTAAACCAAATTTGATCGGATTTTTAAAATACAAAACCAAAACCAAACCAATGGGTGGGTGTAGTTTTGTTGCTGGGATCGGTCGAGTTTGATTAAAAAAAATGGAGCGAGTCAGTTGGTCCAATAAGGGGATGCCAAGTGGATTTTAAAAGAAGGGATGGTGTTTTTAACGTGTAAGGGTAAATATAACCCTAATGTATAACGGTAGGGATATTTTTGATAGAAAACTTAAACAGAGGATAAATAAGACCTATTTATGATAGTAGAGGGGCAAATCAGACCCTTAACCGAATATTATTTGGTTGAGTGATTTGCAGTCTATTGTGCATCCTATGTTTGACCATGCATTCTGATTATTTGAGATAGTAGCTTTACTGCTTCTTTAGATTTAGCACTTGGAAGCAAAATCTCTCTACTTTGAAAGGTTCAAGAAACAAGAAATTTCTTCAAAGTTAGATCCCAGTATTGGACATGAAGAACTTCTAGGCAATCTTAAGCCACATTATAAGATCAAAAATTATTTCTGCTGGTCCCTTAGCAAGTGAAACTACCACAGATTTGGTTGGATAGAGAGTTGTAAGTCTGCTTTTGTCTTTATGTCTATTTGAAAATAGTATTAATCAAAAAGTTGTCTGTCTAAGTTATGATGCAGCTTATACAGTGTGGAGTATGAATCTCTGTCCATCTATGGATGTCTTTTTAGAATTTATGCAGCACTCGATAGTTTGATGCCTAGACACCACTTGTGAAATTGCACTGGGTTTGTTGTTATTGTTAGTAAATCATTTGATGGTCAAGCTAATCTTCACCTATCCGATGTTAGTGATTGTTAGTCTTAAATATCTTTATACGATCTTCCTCCAATTTGATTTGTCAACCTTTTAGTTAATTCTACGCTTCAACTATTCCGAGAGCAAAAATCAAGATGTGATAGCCATAGAAATAAGAAAAACTCGGACGGAACCCTTTCAACTCTCATGCCATATATTAAAGTGTTCAGAGAAACTGGGTTGGTCAATGTTGTGTGTTTAACTTGCTAATATGCTTTGTTGTTACAAAATTGCTAGATGGCTTCACATTGGAAAGATTTCTAATGGCAGTCAGAAGTGAAGTCCTCTTTTACGTAGTAGATGGCGAACTATCAAAACTGAAATTTAGAATGTGTTAAAGAGTTTCATGACAATATGTACATATATACATCAGGGAGATGTCACAAGGAAATATTATGAGGTGGATGCAAAATTGTAGTTTCGGTGAATATAAACAATAGCTTTTTCTCACATGAAGTGTTGCGATTTTACATATTCAAACCTCTTATGCGCATTTGCAGCTCATGGTATATTTTGGCTTTTCACTGATTTTGCAGGCTGAAACTTTCTTTTGTTATCGCTACTTAGTATTTATAGTACTCTCCATATAATGTTACTTCTTTGTAATCATTTTATTTGTATTAGACATATCCAGGCAGAGAGAAGAAGGAAGCAGCTAAGAAGAGCATGGCTTTATGTTTAATATTGAGGTTAAGACTGTTTTGATGGTAGTTTTCATTGGAAGTTTTCTGTTTGACTGTATAAAAACTAGGGGAGGTGATCACTTTAAATAATATTGACACCATAGATATGTTGGTAAAACTATAAGTCCTGTGGCATCTATTTTTAGCGTTAAGCGATGATTTATAGGTGTAAAACTTTTAATAACTTTTCTGTCAATTGGTGCAATCCATAGTGGAATGTGAAAGTATCTGAAAGTCATTAACTTTTCTGATGGATATAATGTTATTTCATAGTAATAGATTTGATATTTATCTTTGTCTATTCATTTTCCTTTTGTAATACTCATCTTTAAAAAAAGCTGTGTTGTTTGTATGTCATGCCCCTTTACAATTTTGAATTTAAGAAAATGATCTTTTTAGATCTCTTATCTGTAAAAGAGAGTTCTCTTACGTGTAAAAATAAATCTCTCAGGTGTAAAAAAGTAAAAAAGAGGTAGGGTCATAAAACTAAAAACAAGTTTGTAAAAGAGCCAAAAAAAACCAATTGACCCTGAGTTCCTGTCGATGTCATGGGCATCCACTCTCTAGTTACTACTCCCTCCGTTCCAATTTATATGAACCTGTTTGACTGGGCATAAGAAAAAAATGAAGATGAATTTGTGATCCTACACAAGTCCAAATGAGACCCAAAGTATTTGTGTGGTTATAAAAGCTTCTCATTAAGAGTAAAGTTGTAACTTTAAGCTAAATTGTTACCAAATTTAGAAAGTGTTCATTCTTTTTGGAATGAACCAAAAAGGAAATAAGTTCACATAATCTGATGGAATGAACCAAAAAGGAAATAAGTTCACATAATCTGAAACAGAGTCAAATCTGAAACAGAGTCAGTAATATTTAGAAGAGACAGTTGGGGCGTACGAATAGGGGTACTATGGATATTATATTCACTTTAAAGGTTAAATTGGTCATTTGGGCCTATTGTCTTTCATGAGACGCGTGTAATGCAATTTATATGAGCAAACCACGTATATATGCACTTTAGATAGACAAATTTCACTGCTCAACTCTTGATTTTATGTTCTATCGCTCAAGTTCAGACTTTGGAGTTCCGATTATGTGCTTCACTCCCTCGAAGTATCATCTGTTTGCTTTGATGAGTTTCTTTTGCCATAAATGAACCCAAGCTGCTTGTTCTCTATTATTTTGTTATGCTTTTGACTGTTTTCCTGCATTTATTTGCAACTACTGCTCTGCTCATTTTGGTAAAATCCGTTTGAATTTTTTCCCTCTTTCTTTTTTTTTTAAAAGGAAAACTTTGCACACACATGCATATGTAGATGAGCTTTTTCCTTTTCAAATTTCTCAATTAGAGTTTAAAGTTGTCTCTGGTATGTGCTTTATTCTGTTCAATTGTGGTGAGGGTTTTCTCTATTCTTGCATTTCTTTTAATGCACCGATTATTGATAATAGGATTTTGGTAGGTATCTGAGAGTTTCTCTACTCTTTTGGATAGTTTCCTATATTGTATCCAATTTGCACCCTTGACGCACGAAAGGTTTTTGATAATATGTCTAAATCAACTGTTCCCTTTTCCCCCTTTAATTTTGTTCTACAACTGAACACATTAGTAGACTCAATTTTTTGGGCTCATGCATGTCTAGAATAGCTCACAAAATTCCAATCTGTATACAAAAAGAATAAGAATTTCCACCAATAAGAAGATCTATCATCTTTCTCTCCTCCAGCGCCCTTCTTCTCTTAAGTAAACACTTGTCATCTTTCTCTCCTCCAGCGCCCTTCTTCTCTTACTAATCTCTTGATATCCCATTTGGGTTTTCATTCCTTTAATTTTTTATTTCAGTTTTATCTGCGCATGTTATCACTAAGATAATTGAAATATCTAGAAGTTTGAATTTTTCTTCACTCTTGATACTCCCTCTGTTCCAGTTTATGTGAACCTATTTCCTGTTTGGTTCGTTCCAAAAAGAATGAACCCTTTCTAAATTTGGTAACAATTTAGCTTAAAGTTACAACTTTACCCTTAATGAGAAGCTTTTATAACCACACAAATACTCTGGGCCCCATTTGGACTTGTTTAGGATCACAAATTCCAAAAGTCTTCATTTTTTTCTTAAACTTCGTGCCCAGTCAAACAGGTTCACATAAATTGGAACGGAGGGAGTAATTTTTTGGTTCCATTGCGAGGTCGTTTTCAAGCTCTGGGATAAGTGAATTGTCTTAGCTTTTACCTGAAGCGGAAAAGTTATCTTTCTAACCCGTTTATGGACGGTTGCATGGGATCGAAATACATCTCTAGAAATCTTTTTTGTGATATACAATCTGCATTCTGCAGTTACATGCTTGTGGTGTTAAATTGGGGTGCATGTTGCATGTATCTCTATAGTAATCAGAATTTGGTTTGAAGAATGCGTCAAATTAGCTACATCACACATATGTAAAAATTACTATTCAAGGTTTGCACGAACCATTCTGCCATGATTTTAACTTAAGTTTAAGTAGTTTATGTTATTACTGCAATTAGCAAATTGAGATTCAAAATACTATTCAAGGTTTGCACGACCCAAGACATCTCAGAAAATGAATGTGATCTTCGTTTTTGGTAAGAGCTCTGTCTAATAAAATGACCGGTGAGAATCGTTTGATAATGTATCTTGGTTTTGGAACTATGGAGTTTTTTGATAGCAATACTATTTTCCAATCAATAAACTACGGAGCCTGATAGCAAAAGCTTCTTGGACCAAGCACCTAGCTGTGACTTAATGTCCCTTGAGGCTTATTATTAGGTCTCACTCATATTCTTTTAAGGAGCATTTTTAGTTGTACAAATAATCTAATGATGTATTTCATACCTTTATACAGGAGAACTGAAAATATTAGCTGCAACAGGGCCACTCCTTATGCTGACAACTATGTACTTCTAACTTTGAGGACTCCCTGTTGGCAAAATTTGGTTTTTCAGTCTGCTTACATGAGGAAAGCATTATTTGATTGAAATGAGATGAGACTGACGGATCTAGCTTCTTTACATATCATGGCGGTGGAAATGAAAATTACCGAAACTTAAGCAAAGTTTAATGCCTATTCTCCAAAACAATGGTAAATTTTTCCCGCTCTTTGATTTGGTTGCCTATTTTGTTTATTGCTTCTAGAATTATGTATTATAAAACATAGTTGTGGTGTGTCTAAAATATGACATTCTGAAAATTTTTACCAGCGAGTTTATGGAGAAAGCTCAAAAGCTTTATAAGTATCATAACTACAGAAATTTTGTCTGACACGACGTGTACAAATATACTTGTCATGACCTTTAGACAAGTGATTCTGCAACATCTTTGGAACTTTGAACATGTACTTTTTATACCGGTAGCAGAACGAAACAAGGATGATCATGAAGCACCAAGAGAGGTGGCTTTCCATTCATTATGCTCTTTTTTAATATCAAATTTATAATGTCTCCATTGCACGTACTAAGTGATTATCAATCAGTAAGGTCTTCTTTCATGTGCAGAGGAAGGCTGCAGATCAACTGATTTGGTGTTTTTCCTTTTAAGTACTGCCCATAGTTCTATATTTAATTTATCAAGCAATCTTAATTCTTAAGCCAAACTTGAAATATCATGCTTCTTGCCCGTGAAACTAAGCAGCGAACTATAATTTGATCATTTATTTAGTATTTCACAACTATATTATGAAGTGTCTTACATGAAACCTTCAAGAAACTGTGGTTGAAATGACAATATAATAAAGAAAGAAGAAGGAAGCTCAGTAAATTCAAGCAATCATATTACAATAAGTTGCTCTTTTTAGATGCCCAAATATGTTATTGGAGTCATTTGGCCACTAAATTTTTTTCTAATATTTGATAGCTATATTCTATCTCCGAACTCTCATGTAGATATAATTTCTTGCACTTACTTGGAAGTTGCTATGTCCTGTGTCAGTTGCACAACCAAAATGGAAGAGTTTGGTACTCCTGTAACTGCTGGTTTGCGGGTGACAAAAATTTATTATACAAAAGAGATATACTTTCTAGATTTCTTACATTAAAGCTTTTTGAAATTTGAATATGTAGTTAATGTTAAGGGGTTAATAGGAAACGAGGCATTATTCTTTGTCAAATAACTAATAATATACCACCAGTTTGTGAACTTTGCCAATATATAAAAAAAATTAAATTTAAAATGCGATTTATAAAATTATGTAAATGCCTCTGAAGTTCATATTTGTGTGGAGGCCATGTATATACATACACATTTTTTTGCATTGATTTTGTATATTTATGAGTGATTCTTTTGCTGGTATGATGCAAAAGATGGTCAATCTTTCTCAAAGGAGATTGTATAATCTATCATCTGTTGGTGCGATAAGCTCTCTTCTTGAATGTTCTTTAGTCCTTGTAGGAAATCTCCTAGGAATAGATTTTTATATTGACAGTAATTAAGATTTCACCATATCCTTTCTTATGCGTGTGCTGATTATAGTATTTGTACTACATTGGTGATGAACACCTGTTCTGAAAATCATCATAATAGTTCACGGATGTATCTATAAAAGGTCTTTTACATTTTCTGTGCTGGTACTTGGAATATTTTTGAAAATACATATTCATTTTTATCATTCAACCTCTGCTAATATCAGTCACTATCTCTTTCTGAAACTTCACCTTTGTAAGTTTTCAATTGATTGCTATTGTGAAGATTCATATATCATAATTGAGTTAAGAGTCCCCAATGTGATTGGATAATACAAAAGGTTTTCCACGTCATGAACTTTGTTGTAAATGGAGGTAACACGGAGTCACGTTTCTTACTGTTTTGTATTGTTTTTGTTCTTGTGAATATTTGGTAGTATTTTAAAAGGGTCAATATCTTTTCTTGGATAAATTGTTGAGTTGCAGAGAAGGTAACCTCTTATCGACCAGAATGATACAAAGAATGGTGTTTATAACTGAAGAAATAATGAAGCAGCTGCAGACCTTTTAATCCAAATTCTTTATAATTTATGCTCGACATTTGTTTTGCCCAGTAAATATAGGAGACATTAGCATTAAATTTCTCGTTATCTTTTTTTTTTTGCAGGTTTTGAGCCACTCAAGAAGNCTTCTTTTTTTGCAGGTTTTTAGCCACTCAAGAAGATTTTCCAGGTTTGCCTTTTCTTTCATCTTTCAACATTTTGGAAATTTATGGCTGCTCTTCGTTTGAATATTCCAGATTTTGTAGGAGTTAACCTGGTCCACTTGCCATATTTCTCATCCTAAATGTAAAATATAGAGAAGGTCCATGACAACTCAACATTGTTACCTGTTAAATGAGTTGTATGTCTTCTCTTTTTAGTACCTCTCATATGAGAAGAAAGATCACCTTGAGATAAGCATTAGCTATTCTAGGCTTTTTGTTTGCACCAGATTACACCTTACATCTCTTTTGTAAGCTTTTACTTTAAGATAAAAAAATAATACTAGCTTGATGAATGATATGGTATTGTAATGATATGGTATTTTCATTTGGAAATTAGGTAGTCTATTTACTAAGCTTGTGGTATTTTAGTTTACATTTCATTGTATATTGGCCTTTCAAAGAACCAGTAAAAATGAAGTTAATAAGATTTTTGGTTATAATAGGGGTAGTAGGATCATTTTGGATCGTGAATACATATTTGTGGCACCGCATATGTTAGATCACTTTTTAATGATACTGGATGAACACATTCATCCACTTGCTATTCCAATTGCCAATGAAAAAGTTGTGAGGTCGAAAGAGATCTAATTGCGCAGAAAACTTTATCAGAAATACCAAAGTGGTTGAGAACCTTAACTTCAGTAATGTCTAGGCTATGTTTTGCTTAAGAACAATGCATATCGGCCCAAAAAAAAACATTGTTTCCAGATGTTTAAGCAAGCAAAACTGATGGTTATTTATAGTAATCTGAGGTGACAAGCATCAACTATTGTTTGTAGTATAGTTCTAAAATATTCATAATGTTAGATGTTTGAAAAAAAATTGCTCCCTTTGGGCCCGTTGCGATGCACGGGCAAGCCCTGCTAGTATATAGATAGAATAGAGCTCGATATTAATGTCATTAGGCTATCCATAATTTTCATCATTTGTCTACTGTTACTCATTACTTGAGAAATAAGTTTGTAATTTTCTTATTTCAGGGATTGCTTTTCTAAAAAATATTTTGTGTCAGGTAATCAGGCATGTATTCAAACTTCAAACTCAGATTTAAAGAGAAAAAATTTGATCTGATGTGGGTAGCTGACTACAAAGGATAAACTCATGTGCAGGTTTTAGAAAAGAAGTGTGGACATTCAGGAGATTACAACATTTTGTGACCAAATTATTTGGAATAACTTCTAGCGAATAGGATGTCGCGGGGTGCTTTTGTGGCAATTTTTAAGTACTATAATGAGGTGATGGTGAGACTTAAAGATGTTCATCCATTTTTCAATGACGATAAGAAGAGGCGTATTTAGAATTTTAACTTGGTGGGTTCGACTTTTAAGGTTATTAGCACTAAACTCATTTAACTTTTAACATTTTTGGTTCAAATCTGATATGCATTTGTTGAAATTATTATGAGTCTTCACATAGGATTTTGAGATGGATATGTGGGTGTACCAGGAGAGATAAGATTAAGAATGAAGTTATTCGGGACAGAGTGGGAGTAGCCTCCGTGGAGGACAAGATGCGGGAGTCGATGCTGAGATGGTTCGGACATGTTAAGAGAAAAAGCATTGATCCTGAGAGGTTGGCCATGGAGAGTTTGAGAAGAGGTCGAGGTAGGCCTAAGAAGTACTGGGGAGAAGTGATTAGACGGGACATGACACCGCTTCAGCTCACTGAGGATATGACCCTTGATAGAAGGGTGTGGAGGTCGAGGATTAAGGTAGAAGGTTAGTGTGTAGTTTTTAGTTATTCACCGATAGTCTTAGTAGCATATGCATGTCCCTTCATATTCTTAGATTTTTATTACGTTATGTGGTTTTGTTCGTCTCAGATATTGTATTCCCCGTTGCTATTATTTGGGTGGGTTGGGTTATGACCCATTGTTTAGCCCATCTTGACCCAGCCCATCTTAGCCCAAGTACACTTTGGACTGGGTTGGGCAATGATCCATTTATTGACCTAATCCATCTTGACCCGCCCAAATTTAGCCCAACCCGCCCATTTGCCACCCCTAGTCAAAAACATTGGATGTAAATAAATCGATGTCGAAGCACTAGATCCACTCGTGACATAACTTCAAGAAGAGTACGTTGCCAATTTATAAATGCTATCAAGTTAAGTTGACTTGCAAGAACATACAAGTCTATATCAAGTCTGAAAAATAAAATGATGACCTGCTAGAATCGCAAATTGCCCTACTTGTATAAAATCACTAGCTTTTACTACAAATAAATCTGAGACTTTGCTTGGCTGACATTTAGTTCTTTCTTTTTCTTGTTTAATTGCAGTCGCTTATGCAAAGCTGGGGCATTGGACCCTAAAAAGGTAAAGGGAACTATTTTAGTTTGTCTAAGAGGAGATAATGCAAGGGTTGACAAGGGACAGCAAGATGCTTTGGCAGGCGCAGTTGGAATGGTTCCAGCCAACGATTATGCATCTGGCGATGAAATTATTGCTGATCCTCACGTCTTACCTGCTACACAAATTAGCTACACTGATGGGCTTGAACTCTTTGCTTATGTTAATTCAACAAGGTATAACAATTTATGAATGGATTTAACTTATATACACTAACCGCCACTTCATTCTCTTGTTAAACGTTTTATGTAGTACACCTACAGCTTTCATTACACATCCAACGACTCAATTGGGAACAAAGCCGCTCCAGTCATGGCAGCCTTTTCATCAATAGGACCTAACACTGTTGCGCAAGAGATCCTTAAGGTTTTGCACTGGTTCATAAATTTTTCACTAAAGTGACATGACTTCTTCTCTTAACACATCAGGAACTTGAAGTCTGAAAAAGCAATGCTTGAATGTGCCGAGCAAGTTGAAGCACTATATAGTTTTTGTTCTGTTAGGATTTTATCATTTGTACATCGTGCTATAGTTCTAGTGTCTGTTTTTAGGAGTTAGATAAAAATAGTGTCATGCAATTTGATTGGGTATATTTATAGACATTGTGATCCTTCGGTTCTTTGTAATGAACAATGAAATTTTGTTGAGTATGAATTTTGATTATTTGGTATATTTTTAGTAGTTGTATATATGTGTGTGAGAAAAAGCATATGGTAATGATTATTATTGGATAACTACAGAAAAAAAATATAAATTGGTGTAATTATATTTATTAAAATTTCTCATCAACGAAGGAAAATGTGGTCTTTAAAACTCCTTAACAACAGGATTATCAAATGGTTACAGATGCACTAGCGAAGGGAAATTTGGCAATTTGCGACGGGAACATCGGTCGCTAAATAGGAACAACGACGAGAAGTTTTCTGGTCGTTAAAGGAATTTAACGATCGCATTCTAATCCGGTCGTTAACTTTTAACGATGGAGACTTTAGCGACCGACGACGACCGGATTTTATTTGGTAGTTATTGACTTATAGCGATTGGATTTGAACTTTTAACGACTGGATTTTCCTTCGCTAAAAGCCAATTTTCTTATAGTCCGTTTTTTTCTTCTCATGGTCTAGTATGGCAATTTTCTTTGATGTCTCAGAGATATAATATAACTTATAAGTCTAATAAAAAGAAAAGACCTAGATCAACAGAAAAATGAGAAATGAATAAAAGTCTTTTCTATGAACTATGAAAAATTCAACAACTACTCATATTGAATTGATGTAAGAAACAACACAATAGTATCACGAGACTTCACTTTATGAACAATAATATTGAGATTGAGGTAATTTCTCTTAAATATATATATTACTGAATGATAATAATAAAAGATATAAGCTTTGAGATTTACCATACTATCTTCTACACCAAATATAATCCCACGGCCATCAAGTGCGAACCTGACGTATTAACATCTTGCTATAATAGGCATAATTTTTTTGTGATAAAATTAAAGAGAGAATAATTCTGATGAACCCAAATTTCATATTCTCTAGGCAAAGAACTACTATATACATAGCACATACCAAATCGCATGGAATTGTTAGTTTTTAAATAAAAATTTCAAAAATAATGAATGAATTAGAACTAAATAAAACGGTCTTACCTTGTCATGGCAAATGCTGTAGGAAATATCATTACAAGAACTTAAAAGGAGAAATAAGGGAGAGGTGCTTTCTCACATTGTTATCTTATTAGTGTTAAAGAAGTCAACAAAAATAAAATATCTGAAGCTGATTATGATGATTTCGCCTCAACTAATCCAAAGCCACATCAAACGAAGAAGGATTAAAGATAACCGTAGCCCCTGCAAATTTGAAGAGAGAGGAAAAAAGGAGAAAAATACTAACATTTGTTTGTTGGTTTAGATTTTAGATTTACACTTTTTAGAGGGGATGAAGGTTACATTTCGGAGCGTAATTAATGAGAAGTTAAAAGAGAAATTACTCCTCAAAATAGGAAGAGTTTCAGAAATAACTACTCAAAATTAATTGGAAGAGTTTCTTCTTTCAAGAGTACCTATTAAAAAATAAAAAGGTATAAAAAAAAGGTATAGGAGTCAAATAAAAGGAGGTAAAAGATAAATACCAATCAAAGAGATGTGTCGTGTCAGCATTTTTTTCGTCCTCTCTCTCTCTCTCTATATATATGGGCAAGACAACTGATGGGATAATATAGCTCGTCACTATTACATCTTGTGAATTGCCACATGGTAGCCCATATAACCAATGTGCACTTCAGTTACAAGTTAATTAATTAATTTCTCTCTTTTTGTATTCAATAACTGAAAGAAAGTAGTAATTACACTTTTTTGTATATTCCATAACTGAAATCTCCTCATCCTTAAGCTTCATCAGTTTTGTCATTAGTTCTAGGCAGTAAATGATTTTTTTGTATTAAAATTAAGAAAAAATCTCAAAAATCTAGGAAAAAGATAAATATGAAAGTTGGCCATATAGGGATGCCACATCAGCTAGCCAATTCCCAGCTTTATATATTTATATAGACTAGTCTTAAAGTACGCGCGTTGCGCGAGTATTTTATCTCAATAAATATAAAACTTTGAAAAGTTAAATAAATATTATATTAAATTTTTTGTTTGAGTTTAAAATTAATATTAACAAAAGTGTAAGTTTCTAAAAATAATGATTGTTGATTCTATTTAGTTAACTCAATAAATTAAGAAACTCCACTTATAAGTCCTTAATCATCTCATTCAAAAAAACTTATCAAAACACGGTCTTTTTTTCTCACGACCAAAATGCAATTGTTTTATTTTCTTAACAAATAAGAAATACAATAATAATTATTTTTAATAGAATAAAAAATGCTATTGCAAATGTATTGGATTCAATTTTTATGTTTTGATTAATCTGCTCTTCCTTCGTTTTGTAATTGGCTTTCTTTCTCTGTCCTAGTGTAGAAATGTGATTTTTGACCCTCCCCAAGATTTTTCATATTTTAGCGCGTAAAATATTTAATTTAGGCATAATATAGATATTTTAAGTAATTTTGACTCTTTTACTTTATTTTATTACAAGAAAACAAAAAAATCACAAAAATAGGTTCATTTTGTAGTCATTTTTAATCTAAAAAAAATCTTAAAAAAAATATACAACAATAGTATCGTATTTTTATTTTAATATGATATTTGAAAATACCAAAAATAGATTTGTTTTAATGATTAGTTTTATTTTAATAATTATTTAAATAGTAGGAATAATTAATAAATGGGCCCTTATTTTTAATCTCGTTCGCAGCAAAAGAATAGAACTTGGGCTCGAGCAACCCATTTTTAGGCCTAATTTTGGACCTAGCTCACAATTGTCAAGCCCATAATTCCTAGGCCCATACCCCTTAACTAAAGCACTACAACCTAGACTCTATAAAAGAATTTTTAACACTAAAGAATTAGGAAGAAGAGGGGGAAGAGAACGAACAAGCTAAAAAAAACGAAAAAAGGAATGGAAAAGGGGAACAAAAAGCTGAAATCAGCAAAGAAAAGCTGCGCAGCCTTTAGGAGGACCCCACCCCCTTGCCCGTCGTCTTCTTCACGACCCCCACCCCCNTTTTTTTTAAGCTAAACTTGAGCTGGGGTGTTGGAACGGTAGCGGTTGTGTTCGAGTTCGAACATGTGCGGTCGAGTTTCATTGAGACTCCGACGAAGCATCTCATTTTCATGTGTCCGAGGTCGACGCCGGTTCGAGATTTCCGTCATAGTTTTCAGCTTACGGTCTGTTCATGTTCAGCCATAGTGTCGTCTTTTTCTTGTAATCAGTTGGAAGATCTTAATATATCGAAAGGCTTCAAAGGTCCGTTGTTTTCTTCTTTATCATTTTGCTTGGATGGTTAAATTTCTATAATCTGTTATGGGTGCTAATTATTCTATCGTAGATATCATTTTCACTTAGTTGTTTCATGTTGGTTACTTCATCTTCTTGTTAATCAAGGAAATTGCAAAAAACAAAAATTTAATTAATTGAGTAATAAGGGAATTAGCAATAATGGACCATGTGAATGTTGGTTGAAATTTATTGAAGTATAACGTACGATTTTTTTTCCTTTGTGCTTTATGAGAATTTTTTTTAAAAAAAAACCTTTAAATCTGGTTTGGTTCATTAATTAGTGGTTGATATCGTGTTTAAGATTCTAGGTAAAATTGGAGAAATCTAGTTATTTTCGTCTATTCACGTTAAATAAATTGAGGTGCGCCATACACAAATAAAACCCATAACTTTTGGCCTCACAATAATCCCAAATTAGTTTAGGAAAATTATGAACATCGTAGCTTGCTTTAGGCACGATTAATAATGAATATCGTGATTGTAGGTACGGTTCCCGTGATATAGTTACGATGCTTAATTTTCTTAAACTCGGGTGCGCATTTATGTGACCCAAATCCAAATCTCAACAATGTTAAAATATGTCAAAAACCACGGGTGTATTTATGTGACGTGGTTCGAGACGTGTTTTAATAACGTTGCAATTTTCTTTAAAAATGGATAAAAGCGGTTAAAACTAAAATTTGCACATAGGTTCATAATTGTTTAAAATCAGATAATTAAGCCGAATATAACACTTGAGCGACCGTGCTAGAACTACGGAACTCGGGAATGCCTAATACCTTCTCCCGGGTTAACAAAATTCCTTACCCGAATTTCTGGTTCGCGGACAGTTAAATAGAGTCATATTTTCCTCGATTCGGGATTCAACCGGTGACTTGGGACACCATAAATCTCCCAAGTGGCGACTCTGAATCTTTAAACAAATAAATCCCGTTTCGATTGTCCTTTAATTGGAAAAACTCCTTTACACACCTTCCGGGGGGTGTAGGTGGTAAAAGGAGGTGTGACAGCTCTGGCGACTCTGCTGGGGACCGAACCCAGAATCTCTAGTTTAGGGTTCAAGAATTCGAGCTTAGATGAATCGTTGTATTTGGCTTTATTTATTATCTGATTTTATTCACATGTTTGGGCCTAATGTGTTAAATGTTGCTTTTTATCGCTTTGATATTATCTGAACTGTATATATAAACTGCTACGAAACCCCTCACTTCTCTCTCCTGAGGAGTGCACGCTGGTCGTGACTTCTTTCTGTTAGTGTCAAATCCCAAATAAAACAAGGCTCAGACAAGTTACATAGTCGGATGATCCTTTGGTTACCGGTACACAGCCCCCTCCTCGGCTCGAGCTGTCCGCTCGGGTAAGCCAGTAGGAGCGCTTGCTTGCATCATGTGCATTTTGACTTTGGGGACTCAACGCAGGGGTTGAGTCCGTCTAAGACAAGTGCACCCAAAATAACAAGACCATCTTGATGCATCCTATGTGCTACATGTTGTATTTATTCAAAGGTAAAAGGATCATTTGGCGGACCAATGATAGTTGAGGGCAAATAAAAAATGAAAAAGAGAGGGTGAAGTGTGAAGATAAAGCGAGTGAGGCCTAATTATGTTTTCTGTCACATTTTTGTTAGAGAAAAAGAGAGAAGAGCTTGAAAATTAAAAAAAAAAAAGATTTTGCACTTTTTCATCATTTTCCGAAAAATAAAAAAAAAAGGAAAAAGAAAATTCAAAAAAAAGATGTTGCATGTTTCATCATTTTTTCAAAAAAAAAATGAGACAA